TAATTAGGTAGAAGCGCCCACATGAATCAGAGGGCTCTGATCGTCCGCCACTAGCACATAGGCACCATTCTAACAATAGACATTCTCCAAGATAGAATGAGTGACACCCTCATCTACGTATTGATAGGAACATAAAGCAAGATGGGGCTAGGGGAAGGAGAGAAGAAGGGTGCACTATCTGTGGAAGAATGCATGGTGGGAGGTGCATGGCTGGCATCCGAGCATGTTACAGATCTAGTCAAGAAGGGCACATCGCTGTGAACTGCACGGCCAGAAACGTTGAAGCACAACTAGATACGCTTAGAGTAGTAGAGCAAATGGAACAACCAGCGCCACCACGAGTGAGCTAGGGCCTACGCATCTACGAGCAAGGACATTGGGAAGTCCGACACCATGGTGACAAGTATACTATCTATTTTAGGTCATTTCGCTTTTACCTTATTTGATTATGGTTCTACGCATTCCTTTATTTCTATGCCTTTTGTTGTACAAGCAGGGTTCAAATTAAAACCCTTATTGCATGAAATGTCTATAAGCACCCCTTCGGGGGTAGACTTAGTAGATAAGGATAGAGTAAAGGATGACCAAGTAATCATAGGGAACCAAACGCTAAGCGTTGACCTGATGATAGTAAACATGACAGACTTCGACGTCATACTAGGCATGAGTTGGCTAGCTGAAAGTCGTGCTAGTATAGATTATAAAAAGGAGGTAAAATTTTCACCACCAGCAGGACCTACCTTTAAATTTAAAGGCACAAGTACCGGGATTACCCCCAAGGTAGTCTCGATAATGAAAGCAAAGAGGTTAGTCCAACAAGGCGGATGGGCGATATTAGCATGTGCAGTAGACTTAAGAGGAAAATAAAAGATCCTAGAAAACGTGCCAATAGTAAATGAGTTCTTGGATATATTTTCGGATGACCTACCTGGAATACCCCCTTCCCGAGCGATCGAATTTGTCTCGAACTCAAGCCCGGAACTGGGCCTATATCCAAAGCATCCTATCACATGGCGCCAACATAGTTGAAGGAACTTGAGAATGTTTGCTTAATCCACCACAACTAAATAGTATGAAAGTTATCTTATTTATAATTAAATAAATTACAAGTATATGAAAAGAGTAATAACCGGAAATAACAATAAATGAAAAGATACGTCTGGTAATAAGAAAAATATAAAGATATTTTCCTTATAATAAAATATCAAATATAATATATATGGTAAACTATAATTTATTACTAAATACCCTTAACACCCCACCGTAAGATGAGCGTCGGATTTGAACGAACATGAAGCTTGGATCTAAAAAATTCAAAAAGAGGTTGAGAAACACTTTTCGTGAAGCTGTCAACTACCTGGTTCGGAGGAGGCGTAGAGAAACACTTCTTGACCATCGAAAACTGCAGAGGGATCGATGCTTAGCGGCGATGCTACCTTGGCTTCAGCGAGAATATGTCTAACCCATGAAGAGAGATCGTCGCTTACCGACGATGCTACCTTGGCTCTGGTGAGAATATGTCAACCCAAGAAGTAGAAGAGGAAACCTAGAGCAAAGGGACAAAGACAATGTTGAAGTTGGAAGAGTCGCCACATTGGGCGAAGGAGCCAATTTTGGCTAGAAGGGTGGAGGCAACTTGGTTGGCGAAGAGGCTAGTGCGGCGCCTAGATTCCAAAGGTAAATCTCTGCAAAAGGTTGATACGTTTAGGTTAGGATTTCTGTGAAGGATGAAGGGAAGATTGGGAAGAAAATGAAAGAGACTATGTTGGTTGAGGGAAAATCGATTGTGTTGGAAAAGGTGAGGTTTGTATGTACAAAGTATGGCAAATGGTGATTTGGAGGTCAAAAGGGTAGAGCCGAAGAGTAATCAATCGGCTCCGCATGTGGCAATCATGGAGACTGCCCCTACGACGTCAAAGCCAGCAGGGTGGTGGAAAAGAAGATGAGTAGGAGATTCAGAAGCCATTGAAAATAGGGATCAAGGTTGTTAATTCGAAAGACCTCTGATACCATGAGAATGTTTGCTTAATCCACCCCATTTAAATGGTGTGAAAGTTATCTTGTTTATAATTAAATAAATTATAAGGATATGGAAAGAGTAATAAACGGAAATAACAATAAATTGGAAAGATACCTCTAGTAATAAGGAAAATATAAAGATATTTGCTTTATAATAAAATATCAAATATGATATATGGTAAACTATAATTTATTACTAAATATCCTTAACAAAACTCAAGGAGAAATTGCAAGACTTACGGGATAAAGAGTTCATTCGACCTAGCGTATTCATCTGAGGTGCGCCAGTGTTGTTTGTTAAGAAAAAAGATGGATCGATGAATATGTGCATCAATTACAGAGAGCTAAATAAGAGAACCATAAAGAACAAATATTCTCTGCCTAGGACAATTCAGATAGGCAACCGTATTTTCCAAGATAGATCTCTAGTCCAGTTACCACCAAAGTAGGATAAATGAAAAAGACGTACAAAAAACAGCGTTTAGGACAAGGTACAGTCACTACGAATTCGTACTGATGTCATTTGGTCTCACCAATGCCTCAGGTATGTTTATGGAGTTAATGAACCTGGTATTCAAGGACTGTCTAGACACATTCGTGATCGTGTTCATAGATGACATCTTAGTGTACTTGAAAACATACCTAAAACACCAAGAACACCTCCGAAAAGTCATAACCACCCTAAGAGAGAACAGTTGTACGCCAAGTTCTCCAAGTGTGAATTTTGGTTACGACAAATCTCTTTCCTGGGACACGTGATGTCAAAGGACGAAATATCTGTAGATCTCACTAAGGTCGAAGCGGTCACAAAGTGGGAACGGCCAACTACGGTAACAGAAGTAAGGAGCTTCCTAGAATTGGTGGGATACTATCGAAGGTTCGTGCAGGACTTCGCTAGGATAGTCTCGCCTTTAACAAAGTTAACAAGAAAAAGGGTACTATTTATATGGAATGATGCTTGTGAGGAAAGCTTCTAGAATCTAAAAGAGAGATTGATAACCGCCCCGGTACTCACAGTACCCGAGAGCTCAGAAGGGTATGTGATTTATAGTGATGCCTCCATGAAAGGATTGAGATGTGTATTAATGCATCATGGCAAAGTAGTTGCATACACGTCTCATCAACTAAAGGAATATGAAAAGAACTATCTTACACACGACCTAGAGTTGGCCGCTGTAGTGTTCGCGCTGAACATTTAGCTAATTAGGGAGTACTTCGGCCAAGGCCAACCAAGTAAGTGACCTTAGATTGTACGAGTTATGATGATGTATAAGTATGACGTTGTGCTGTGATGTATGTTGTATGTACGTTATTTATGTCTTGATGCATGACCTACATGTTATATTTGATGCACTTGATAGCTTTATGATGATTATGATGTATGCATGATGATGTTATTGATATGATGATGTTTTCCATGTTGAGCATGCTTTATGATTATAAATGTCATATTGCATCATGTCGTTAGATTGACATAAGACACAACCCTAAGAGTATGAAAATGATATTAATGTAAATATCCATGAGCACGTGTTACATAATATAACAAAGAGATGAGACTAGAGGGTTGTGTCAGAAGAGACGTATAATTTGATTTAGAGGGACCTCATGCATATTTTGTGTACATAAGCATAGGGCTACTTCTCTTAGAGATGATGTGTGTGAATGCGCACATATGAGGGGTGTTCATGAGGCGCATGACACTATGGGTTCCACTGACCTCCGGACGTCGCTACAGATTAGCTTGACCAGAGGGTCCAAGGGGCGTGCGAGTGCCTTAGGGATTCCCACTCGCAAGTGTGAGTCATGTGTAAGGAAGTACTGCACATACAATTTGTCTAAGACTAGAGACCACCCTTGTGATGTTTAGAGATAAGTCCCTAAATCATGATTGCATGTGTTTGCATTAGCATGACCCCTATAGTGGGGTTGTGCCATATTGTTTTTCAGGTAAAGGCAAGGCGCCTATGTACAATTGACAGCGACATTGCGATCAAAGACGATGGCGCGTGCATAGGGTCATTACATATTCAAAATTCCTAATCTTATTTTTATCTTACTTTGAACTCAACGTGATGTTTTGAAACACGTAAGCCCAACAGTGTTTTCCATCAGCTTGAAGTATTACAAAAGTTTTAAGTTTTCCGCTATTTATAATAAACATTTTAGAGTCATATTCCGCATTCAAATGTTGGGAAAATGAAAGAGATATTTTATTGCGTGGCCATGACTTTGTTGTTCTTGAGTTGAATTATTATTAAATAATATAAAATTATGCAGCCGTTGAACCAATGGTTAGCTGCCACTTGTCTCCCAAAAACAAGGAAAATTCTAAAACTTTCACTATTTTCTCATACATTACCCAAATTATTGGTAAGACTTCACCACCACCACCACCACCCCTTTCATTTTCTATTTTCTATTTTTTCTTACAACAAATTATTTTTTTAATTACCTTTTCACAAATTTACTAATAAAAATTGTATTTAAAATTAATTTTTTAATTACCTTTTCCAAATATTCACCTGTGACATGACCAAGTTTCATTTTAAAATGTTTTGTTCTTATTTACATATATTTCTAATATACCACTCTTAACTATTTTATTATTTTTTTTTTATTTATTTATAAATTTTAGAAATTATTAAACACATTAAAATAATTCATCTAATTTTTATTTTCATTATTTAATTTCATTTATTTTTAAAGAAATTCTATTGAATTATTTATTATCATTATTATTGGTTCCAAAAATAAAAATTATATATAAAGGAAATTCATGTGTGACAAAAATACCCCTACCCACCACCTAACCAAAAAAATCCACATTCTTTGATTCTCCTTAAATTCTCCATTAACAATTATTTAATAAAAATATTTTTTAATTTTAAAATAATAAAAAAAAAAGAGGAAAAAAACCAAAACCTAATTTCCCATATATATATATATATATATATATATATATATATATAATTAGTCCTCAGCGGCGGATTCTTGTTACACTACGAGCGAAACTTCCTGGAAGCTGCCATGGCGGATCTCTCGCTCTCATCCCTTCCATTTAAGTCGGCAATTCTCCTGCTCTTTCACCTCCAAATTCTCTTCTCCTTCTCCATTATCAAATTCTTCATTCTCTTCTCTATTTTCTGTATTTTCTGCCATGAAAATCCCCAAGCGATTTAGCCCTAAACGCCTCTTCCGATCCAAGAAGAATCCCTCCGCCGACGTCTCCCGCTCCGATCCGCCGTCCTTCGGCTCTGGTACGTCTTCCTCCTCCTCTTCGTCCGAGAATTTCTTCAAGCCTCACACCGCTGGCTACGGAACTCCGACCAGCGTCCTCGCTGGCTGTTCCGACTCAGACCAGCGGGAGAACGACGTCGTTGTGTCGAGGAAGGAGTTGGAGGCGATTTTGAGCCGGATCGCGTCGGAGGAGGAGGTTGCGATGATGCTGAGCGAAGTCGACGACGGCGGATTTATCCGGTTGGATGAATTGATGGCTCGGGTCGGGTCGGGGTTCGATGCGGTAGGGGAGTCGGAGCTCCGGGAGACGTTTGAGTTTTTTGACGCGGATCATGATGGGAGGATCTCGGCGGAGGAGCTTCACGGGGTTTATAGATCAATTGGGGATGAGAGGTGCACGTTAGAGGACTGTCGGCGTATGATAAGGGATGTGGATGAGGACGGGGATGGGTTTGTGTGCTTCACGGAGTTCGTGCGTATGATGGAGCTGCAGAGATGATTGAACGTACGGCTCTTGATGCTTTTGATTGGACGGCTGTGATGGGTTGGAATTATTGTTTTTTTTTTTTTTTTTTTTTTTTTTTTTTTTTTTTTTTTTTTTATNGGAATCGAGTCATGATAACTGTGGTTTGGATCATTGTGGCGGGTCCGACCGGATCAATCATGAGTTACAAATGAAAATAGGGGCTCTCCAATGTATATGGTTGATTGATGATCAAATGAACAAATGTCAATACTATTTTGCCATTGGATCCTTCGGTTTCGTTTCATTTTGGTTTTTATATTCTCGAATCATTTCATTTTTTTAAAGTGATTAATAAGGGTTTGATATACTATTTCAAAAGATTTTGTTTTCGATTGATCGTGAAGTATTCATAGATGGATTGCTAGAGGTCACGGTTTTACTTTGTCAGCCTTTGGGTGTCACGGTTTTACAACTTTATCAGACCTTGGGTGAGGTTCTCTTTTGCCGATCTATGCTCGTGTGCATGCTCGTTGCAACTTTAGTTGACTAGTCTGTACTTTATATTAAAGTTATTCATATGCAAATCGCATCTCATCTTGTCATCGTGATTTCCAACAACACGACTCAGGCATCGTGGTGTCAATTTTGGATGTCATTGACACTTGCAACTTGTTTGGACACAACCCATGATCGCCTTCCATCATTCGGTACCTCGAATATCCATCCAGATACGTATGAACTTGTTTTATAATAGTTGTGTTGATATACTTGGATCAAACGTGGGCAGTTGGCACTCTTTTGTTTTAGAACCTTTTCAACGTTGTTAGAGGATGTGAATTTTTGATTAATCCACCACTTTAGGTGTGAAAGTTATCTTATTTATAATCAAATAAATTACAAGGATATGGAAATAGTAATAAATGGAAATAACAATAAATGGAAAGATACTATGATAATAAGGCAAATATTAGATATTTGTTTTATAATAAAATATCAAATATAATATATATGGTAAACTATAATTTATTACTAAATATCCTTAACACCCCACCGCAAGCTAAGCGTCGGATTTAAACGAACGACGTGAAGCTTGAATCTGAAAAATTCAAAGAGTTTGAGAAACACTTTTCATGAAGATGCTAACAACCCGGTTCTTGGTCATCAAAAATTGCGGAGGGATCGCCGCTCAGCGGCGATGCTGCCTTGGCTTCGGCGAGAATATGTCTAACCCATGAAGAGAGATTGTCGCTTAGCGACGATGCTGCCTTTGCTCTGGTGAGAATATTTCTAACCCCAAGAAGTAGAAGGGGAAACCTAGAGCAAGGGACAAAGACAATGTTGAAGCCGGTAGAGTCGCCACATTGGGCGAAGAAGCCAATTTTGGCAGGAAGGGCGGAGGCAACTTGGTTGGCAAATAGGCTAGTGCGGCACCCAGATTCCGAAGGTAGGTTGATAGGTTTAGGTTAGGATTTATGTGAAGGATGAAGGTTGATTGGGAAGAAAATGAGAGAGACTATATTGGCCAAGAGGAAAACCAATTTGGTTGGAAAAGGTGAGGTTGTATGTACAGAGTATGACGAAAGGTGATTTGGAGGTCAATAGGGTGGAGCCGAAGAGTAATCAATCGGCTTCGACTACGGCAGCCATGAAGACTGCCCCTGCGGCGTCAAAACCAACAGGGGTGGTGGAGAAGAAGATTAGAGGATTCAAAAGCCATTGAAAAGAAAGGATCGGGGTTGTCAAACCGAGAGGGCTCTGATACCATGTGAATGTTTGATTAATCCACCACACCTAAATGGTGTGAAAGTTATCTTATTTATAATCAAATAAATTACAAGGATATGGAAATAGTAATAAATGGAAATAACAATAAATGGAAAGATACCTATGATAATAAGGCAAATATTAGATATTTGCCTTATAATAAAATATCAAATATAATATATATGGTAAACTATAATTTATTACTAAATATCCTTAACACCCCACCGCAAGCTAAGCGTCGGATTTAAACGAACGTGAAGCTTGAATCTGAAAAATTCAAAGAGGTTGAGAAACACTTTTCATGAAGATGCTAACAACCCGGTTCTTGGCCATCAAAAATTGCAGAGGGATCGCCGCTCAGCGGCGATGCTGCCTTGGCTTCGGCGAGAATATGTCTAACCCATGAAGAGGGATTGTCGCTTAGCGACGATGCTGCCTTGGCTCTGGTGAGAATATTTCTAACCCCAAGAAGTAGAAGGGGAAACCTAGAGCAAGGGACAAAGACAATGTTGAAGCCGGAAGAGTCGCCACATTGGGCGAAGGAGCCAATTTTGGCGAGAAGGGCAGTCGGAAGAGTCGCCTCATCGGGCGAAGAAGCCAATTTTGGCAGGAAGGGCGGCGGCAACTTGGTTGGCGAATAGGCCAGTGCGGCACCCAGATTCCGAAGGTAAATCTCTGCAAAAGGTTGATAGGTTTAGGTTAGGGTTTATGTGAAGGATGAAGGTTGATTGGGAAGAAAATGAGAGAGACTATATTGGCCAAGGGGAAAACCGATTGGGTTGGAAAAGGTGAGGTTGTATGTACAGAGTATGACGAAAGGTGATTTGGAGGTCAATAGGGTGGAGCCGAAGAGTAATCAATCGGCTTCGACTACGGCAGCCATGAAGACTGCCCCTGCGGCGTCAAAACCAACAGGGGTGGTGGAGAAGAAGATTAGAGGATTCAAAAGCCATTGAAAAGAAAGGATCGGGGTTGTCAAACCGAGAGGGCTCTGATACCATGTGAATGTTTGATTAATCCACCACACCTAAATGGTGTGAAAGTTATCTTATTTATAATCAAATAAATTACAAGGATATGGAAATAGTAATAAATGGAAATAACAATAAATGGAAAGATACCTATGATAATAAGGCAAATATTAGATATTTGCCTTATAATAAAATATCAAATATAATATATATGGTAAACTATAATTTATTACTAAATATCCTTAACACCCCACCGCAAGCTAAGCGTCGGATTTAAACGAACGACGTGAAGCTTGAATCTGAAAAATTCAAAGAGGTTGAGAAACACTTTTCATGAAGATGCTAACAACCCGGTTCTTGGCCATCAAAAATTGCGGAGGGATCGCCGCTCAGCGGCGATGCTGCCTTGGCTTCGGCGAGAATATGTCTAACCCATGAAGAGAGATTGTCGCTTAGCGACGATGCTGCCTTTGCTCTGGTGAGAATATTTCTAACCCCAAGAAGTAGAAGGGGAAACCTAGAGCAAGGGACAAAGACAATGTTGAAGCCGGTAGAGTCGCCACATTGGGCGAAGAAGCCAATTTTGGCAGGAAGGGCGGAGGCAACTTGGTTGGCAAATAGGCTAGTGCGGCACCCAGATTCCGAAGGTAGGTTGATAGGTTTAGGTTAGGATTTATGTGAAGGATGAAGGTTGATTGGGAAGAAAATGAGAGAGACTATATTGGCCAAGAGGAAAACCAATTTGGTTGGAAAAGGTGAGGTTGTATGTACAGAGTATGACGAAAGGTGATTTGGAGGTCAATAGGGTGGAGCCGAAGAGTAATCAATCGGCTTCGACTACGGCAGCCATGAAGACTGCCCCTGCGGCGTCAAAACCAACAGGGGTGGTGGAGAAGAAGATTAGAGGATTCAAAAGCCATTGAAAAGAAAGGATCGGGGTTGTCAAACCGAGAGGGCTCTGATACCATGTGAATGTTTGATTAATCCACCACACCTAAATGGTGTGAAAGTTATCTTATTTATAATCAAATAAATTACAAGGATATGGAAATAGTAATAAATGGAAATAACAATAAATTAAAAGATACTATGATAATAAAGCAAATATTATATATTTGTTTTATAATAAAATATCAAATATAATATATATGGTAAACTATAATTTATTACTAAATATCTTTAACAGAGGGCCACCACAAAGATGCTTAATCAAAAACTACATCTTTTGAACGGTAGCATCTTCCATTTGTTGGATCACAACGCTTCTATCTTTTTCTTTGATTATTGTATCCAACAAATATACACTTCACTACTTTCTTGTCAAACTTATTTGTAGGACTAAGCACAAATAGCAAATACTCAAAATCTTCTTAGAACATTCTTTGCGTGTGGCATGCTTTGATACATCTATGCAACGTATTGATTCTTTCTCTCTGCTACACCATTTTGTTGTAGTGTGTTGGCACATATAAACCGATGACATATCCCACACTTGTGTAGATATTAATCGAACTCACTTGACCTACATTTTCTGTCATTATCTTAGCATAGATAATAAATCTTCTTACTTCTTCTTTGATGGTTGTCTTGAATTTTTGTTAGACTTTTCTTTTATTAAGAAAATCCATACATATCTCGAGTAGCCGTCAATGAACGTCATCATGTAAGACATCCCTTTGATTGATTTTTACTTGACTAGGCCGAACAAATCAAAGTGAATTAATTCTAGTGGTTCTTTTGCTTTGAACTTTTACTCTTTGTATGGTCATTGAGGCGCTTTACCATAGTGACATCCAACTCAAATTATATATGTTTTGACCTCAAGTTGAGGTTGGCCTTTGAGAATGGATTTCTCTATAATCATCTTCGACTTGTGGTAGCAAACATGTTAATTTCCTTATATGGAAATAAGTGAATTCTTCTATCTCATGATATTATGTTTCTAGCACCCTATTTGGTTAAATCCCAAAATGGTAGACATATTGAATCAGCTACTCGAGACATTCTCACTCATGCAAATCAAAGGATAAACCCTCACATGCAGGAGTTCATAACTCACTCAGGATTGAGATCGAGTTGCATATGATCATCATGTGAAATCACTCAGGAGTTCACATTCTCATCATATCCATGAAGTTTCTCCTCATTGACCATAAGATGACCAACAACCTCCTCAGTCAACATATTCTTGAGGTCGCTGAATTTCTCGATAGAGATAACAATTTGCACGAATCTCAGGGAGACAATTCAATGGAATTTCTTGATGACAGAGATCTTCTCCACCTAGTTGCCTAACGAATGGTGCCGGTGACGATCGTCGTCAACTTCATTGTGAAGTCATCTATTGAGTCACCGCTCTTCATACGGATAACCTCAAACTCACTCTTCAAGGTATGTACCTTTGTTTCCTTGACCAGTTCCACACCCACATGCATTGTTTGCAGCGTCCTCCACGCTGCCTTTGTCAAGTCCTTCTTTGCCAACATGAGAAGAACGTTCTTTGCGACTTCTTTGTAAGTAGCAATAGTCATCCTATCTTTACGTTCCTCAACGT